CCTCGGTCTCAGAAGGGTTACCGTTGCTACTCTCCCACTTTACGTCGATACTTTATCTCGGCGGATGTCTCTTTTTTTGAATCAGTTCCCTTCTTTGGATCCTCTACTACTCCTGTGGACACTGATTCTGTACAGTCATCCTTCCCAGGTGACCTTCTTTACCTTTCGTCTTTGCCCGTCTATGCTTCTGACTCTCCTTCTATCACCTCTTCTGTTGATGAGATCGAGCATAGTTCGTCAGATGTCTCTGTGGACTCACATTCACCTGCATTTCCTCTCACGGCTTCGATCCCACCTTCGGATAGTGACCTTCCCATTGCTCTTCGTAAGGGTACTCGTGATACTCGCCCTCCGGCCAGGTATACAGTCAATATTAGTTACCATCGTCTTTCTCCATCATATTTTGCTTGCCTTTCCTCTTTGTCCTCTGTATCTGTTCCTAAGACTACAGGTGATGCACTTTCACATTCGGGATGGAGACAAACTATGATTGATGAAATGAGTGCTCTTCATCATAATGGCACATGGGATCTGGTGCCTCTACCTTCTGGAAAATCTGTGGTTGGTTGCAGATGGATTTATGCTATTAAGGTTGGACCTGATGGTCAAGTGGATCGTCTTAAAGCTCGCTTGGTGGCGAAGGGTTTCACTCAGGTCTTTGGCTTGAATTTTATTGATACTTTTTCTCCTGTGGCGAAAATGTCTACTGTTCGCCTTTTTATTGCCATGGCTGCTATTCATCATTGGCCTCTCTACCAACTGGATATCAAGAATGCTTTTCTTTATGGAGATCTTGAGGAAGAAATTTATACGGAGCAACCTCCTGGATTTGTTGCTCAGGGGGGGTCTGGTCTTGTTTGTCGTCTTCGCAAGTCTCTCTATGGCCTCAAACAATCTCCAAGAGCTTGGTTTGGTAAATTTAGCAGTGTTGTTCAACAATTTGGCATGGCTCAGAGTTCAGCTGATCACTCTCTCTTTTATCGTCATTCTGCTTCTGGATCTATTTATCTGGTGGTATATGTGGATGATATTGTCGTCACAGGCAGTGATCAGCATGGGATCACTCAATTGAAACAACATTTATGTCATCATTTTCAGACTAAGGATCTTGGGAAACTTTGATAATTCTTGGGAATCGAGGTGGCCCAATCTAAAACTGGTGTTGTGATATCTCAGAGGAAATATGCTCTGGATATTCTTGAAGAAACTGCTCTGTTGAATTCAAAGTCTGTTGATACTCCTATGGATCCAAGTATCAAGCTTCTACCAAATCAGGGGGAGCCCTTTTCAGATCCTGAGCAGTATAGAAGATTGGTTGGAAAATTGAACTACCTCACAGTCACTCGGCCTGATATTTCCTTTGCAGTTAGTGTTGTCAGTCAATTTCTCAACTCTCCATGTCAAGACCATTGGAATGCAGTCATCCATATCCTTAAGTATATCAAGGCATCTCCAGAAAAAGGCCTTGAATATGAAGATAAAGGTCATAATAAAGTTGTTGCATCTCCAGAAAAAGGCCTTGAATATGAAGATAAAGGTCATGATAAAGTTGTTGGGTACTGTGATGCTGATTGGGCTGGTTGTCCAACTGATAGGAGATCTACTTCTGGGTATTGTGTCTTTGTTGGAGGTAACTTGATTTCCTGGAAAAGTAAGAAATAAAGCGTAGTTGCCAGATCAAGTGCTGAAGCAGAATACCGCTCCATGGCGACTACTACTTGCGAGCTCATCTGGCTTAAACAGCTTCTCAGAGAGCTTAAGTTTGGAGATATTGGACATACAACTCTCATTTGTGATAATCAAGCAGCTCTACGCATTTCATCAAATCCAGTATTTCATGAAAGAACCAAGCATATAGAAATAGATTGTCACTTTGTTCGAGAAAAGATTCTTGTTGGTGAAATTAGAACTAGCTTTGTACCCTCTAATTAGCAATTAGCAGATGTGTTTACAAAATCTTTGAGGGGCCCTCGAATAGATTTTATATGTAACAAGCTTGGTGCATATGACCTATACGCTCCAGCTTGAGGGGGAGTGTTAGAAATATGTTGTATAATTAGGGTTTCCTTATTTCTTATGTAATTAGGGTTTCCTTATTTCTTTTGTATTAGGTTTGGGCTTAGCCCATTAGAGTGTCTATATATTGTAAATGCTTCTTCATATCAATATACACAATATTATTTTCAATGTTCCTCTCTTCTCTCTCGTTATTCAACACTAATTAAATGGATATGTTTATAAAAAAAAATGGATATCTCCTGGAATGATAAAGCTAATAGAATTAGCCACATAATCCCTTTGAGCCTAGAGATATTCAATCAATTAGGAGTGAAATTTGAAATAGACAAAAATTTCTAAACAAAATTAGTGTTTCAACTAAAGCATAGATCTCGAGAAAATTCAACTAAAAAAAGAAAAAAAAAGATACTGACATGTTTGGGAACAGAGAAATTAACGAAGAACAAGTGAGAAATCAAAAGTATAAAGATGATTTATACAAAAAACAAACATGAAAGTGCTGCTCTCTCTAAAGGACATATATGTAATAGAGAAAATGTTGGCGAGATGAGCGAGTAGGTGTGGAGATTGACAAGGATGAGAGTCCACCATTGCCCTTCCTGTTGCCAGAGAGATGCCACCATTGACGAACCCTAGAGAGAGAAAGTAATGTCAATAATGTCATGTATTGTCTTTTGTCTTCAATAAATTCATGCCCGAAGCATAATACTTGGATTGTGTAATAATTGTATGATATGAAGGTTTCATAAAAAACTTAGGTCGCGCATAATACTTGACTACCACACCTTTGTACTTGAGTATACAATGCAAAAAAAATCTAGATAGAGAAAAATACTCAAGTATTCCACTAGTGTATCCAAGTATACACTGTTTTGCGAAGAATACTCCAATATCATGGTGCTATCCTCGAGTATATAATTTGGTCAATGGTCAAACATCAAATGGGTGATATATTTTGATACGGGGACATAGAAAAGATTTTTAATATAATAAGGTACAATGATCAAAAAGCCCATGATATTGTGATTCTTTTTTATGACACGTGGAGTCTCAATTTATGAGGGAATGATGATTATAAGTAAAATTACAACAATAACTTTATCTAGTCAACTCATTTTATCATGGAAAAATGTTTGTCCTTTTAAAGAATATAACTTTGTGTCATTTTAGATCCTAACCGTTGATTTTCATCAATCAACATTTATAATTTATTGGGTCAAACTTTTTAATTAATTAGTAATTCGTAATAAATTATATCTGTTAATTGACGAAAATCAATGGTTAGAATTTAAAATCACACAAAGTTTTATCTTTTAAAAGGACAAACATTTTTTCCATTATTATATTTAATTTTTTTTGTTCATTTCGATTTGAGTGATTTATTCACATGAGACAAATGTTGCAGAGATGTTGAAAGAAAATTAAGGAGACTTAAAAGTATAATTAATAAACGTTTAAAAGTAATGAACTACCAAATTTAAAACTCTTGCAACCATGATTGTTTATTGGTTCAGTTAATTGCAGTTATATACTATTATTGTTCTAATTTATCAGACACTGAATTCATTACGTGGATATGATAAAATCAGAACATATAGGATAAAAATGGTTGGATAAAAGTAAAAAAGTATATGGTATAATAATTTAGGGAAAAAGACTTCTCGTGTTGCATGAGAAGTCTCCTCTCCTACCGCTCTCACTTCGATATCTGTGTCAATCACTTTTTTATTTTTTATTTTTTCTTTAAGGTGAGCCCTACCTCTTTCTCTCTCTGTAGAAAAACTTGCATTTCTCATGCAACATGAGAAATTGCGAGCCCTATAATTTAATATTCCATATTCTGTACTCGGCGCAGATGATATCCTATCCATTATTTGTCTTTTCTCTCGTAATTTTCTTACCCATTTCTCTTGTCAGAACACACACACACATAAAATTCACGAGAAGAGAGTATAGAATCAACCTAAGTGAATACTATATCCTTAAAGTTGGTTTATTTTTTAATTTTAATAAAAAAAACAAAGACGGTGAAAATTGAACCAGTAACCACTTAACTAGAAGCTATAATACCAATATTCAACCAACATCTTCAAGTAAAATTAAAAAGTGGTATGTTTATGTCGTGCTTGCTATGTGTGAATGAGTAAAAGGGTGTACTTTATTTTGAAGTGAGAAACACTATACTGATTTGATCTTTGCATGTGTCCCTTTTTCTGTTATGTAATTCTCATGGCAAACACTATAGTCCCATGTTTTCTCATTCTGGCATACATTTTATCTAAATAAATGATATATGTGCCTATTGGAAATGTTTGAAGGGTTAGGGATTTATCTAGTTGTCATACTACTCTTCATTTTATGTTTTTGTAGTAAGATATTTTACAACATGTTGGCTACGGTTAATCTAGTGTTACCTGTAGCTTTCGAGTTTTCTTAATTCTAGACCAGTTATGAACTTGCAGAACATATCTTCCATCCACTACAAAAATTAAGATATTTTGTGGAGGTCAAATTTGCAAATTGTGACAGTATTTGACCCCCCACAAAAGATATTTGTTTAAGTATTTTCTGGAAGTTCCAAACCCTCACAAATGTTGAATTTTCTGGAGATTTCAAATCACCACAAATGTTATATCATTTTTTGGAGGTTTTGAACGCCCACAAATGTCACTTATAGACCTAAGAGAAATATGGATGTGCCTACAAGGTATACACCTAGATCGGAGCAAAAAGTTAGCGAACGCAACTTAAAAATAAAAAATTAATTAACCAAAATTAAAAAATAAGATAAAATTGAACGATGGAAAAAGATTTTAAGTTTTAAAATAAGATAAAATTTCAGGAGAAAACTTTGAATTCCTAATTTTTTTCTTACTTTTTTTTCATCATCCAAGTATAAAAAATTAAATTATTTTTCATCGTTGTATTTTTTTTAGCTCTCAAACCAAACGTAGGATTATTTTTATGCAACTCTTGTACAACATGTCATTAATCAAAATGTAGGTTCTGTGATACATTGCAAAAGCAGAGAAATTCTGGTATAGTGTCAATGCTAAACATGAGGTGGAGCCCAATGTAGTCATAATTAAGCCCTAAGCAATAAAGTAAGGTGCAGCGAGCATTTCATTAGAGAGAAACATCATTATCAACTATTGTCCAAGACCTAGACTGACTTGGAAGACTTGTCCAGGTCACGGCAATTTAAATACAGATAACACAACTGCTTCTTTAAATATGATGAGATAAGTCGTGGAGAGAATCCAGCATAGCACCTTTCTAATTTTGCCAAACATAATTCACTTGCATACTTGAAGGGCTCGTGCTTTTGGGTGAAAGGTTGTGCAGCATATTCCTGAAATGCCATCCACTTTGTGAGGAGAGAAAAGCACACCCAAATAGATTATATAGTCAAGGGAACTGAATATAGATTTCAAAAAGTAGCAAAAGATAGGCAACAATAGCACTCAATTTATACGGGAAACATGCAACGGGCCAACGACAATGGTTTATATAAATGGCAATTGTAAACATTATATTTATAAATGGTCTCTTGAGAAGCAGTAGAATGAGCACCTTGTTGCACCCTATGCTTTAAGATATTTTAATGATGACACAATTGATATAATTAAATTACAAATCCTAACAACCTTATTTGTTGATCAAAAAACAGGATGATTTTTGTTGGGTGGTTACAGCATATCAAAAGGTTGTTGAGATTCCAAATCTGAAGATAAGATAAAGCTTGAAGTTGTTGCAGTCAATTGAAGATAAAGAGCAGAATCAAAATTTGAAATTAAGAGATAAGGATAAAGTCTAAACAGCATTATCATGGGAGCAAAATTTTATGGAATTTTTTTACTATATATATACCCATGCTCCAATAGTCTCACAGTGAAGCAGCAAATGAGATCTAAATTTTTAGCCTAAGACTTGTGTTCTTTATTAACTTTTTTTACAAGCTTAGGTTTTAAGTGCTTCATCGTCACCTTTTAGCTTTTCTAGAAGTATTAGTAAGGTGGTTCATTTTAAGTTGATTTTTCTCCGTGTGTGGAGACTTGCTATTGTTGGTAGTAACAATAGGTGTGGGCTTATCGGTGGATAAGTGTAAACTTTGATTTAAATGGTTGAATCAAAGTAGTGTGCCTCAAGAGTAGATTAGGATCTACTTGTACTTGAGTATTTTGGCTCATTGAAATTAGTGAAGTTTTTTTTTAAATCCCATTGGATTGAAATCCAAGTGGGTCGTGGTTTTTTACTCCTATTGAGCCTAGGAGATTTTTCCACGTAGAAATCATGGTGTTTTTTTTTTATTTGTGCATCATTCTTGTGATTTCCTTTTATTAGCAAAAATTAGAAAATTATATTAAAAATTATATTTGAATAAAAATAAAAAAGAGAGATAGGTGCTACTACTCAATTCAACCCCCCTTCTTGAGTACCACCAGGACTAACACACCTGGTCTTAGCCATCTGATGTAAGTGCTCAAGTCAAAGTTTGTCACTGCATTTATGCCTTTGTATTCAATTGCTGCATTATCATGTGATGGTGCCTGCGGTCAATTTTCAGAACTAAAACCTTAGCATATAAAATTTCTTTGTTGGCAACAAAAGGTTAGCTAGAAATTATTTGACCTTGCCACTCCTCTATACTTTGATACACCTCTAGAAAAACCACTGCTTCGCCTACAATAATTATAGAAGAGCATAGAATTTAGAAAATATCAAAAAGTATTTAATGGCATTATCCCATTAGTAAATGGGATTTACCTTCTTAATGAAGCAAGATATTCTTCTTTTGTTACAGTTTTCATTATCTCAATTTCTTTCTCATAATCAGATACCTGCAAAAATATCAAACGTGTATGAGGCAGGATATCAGTTAATAAGTTACCTTTGCCGAATTAAATTTTTGCATTTTATGTACTATAGACATACTGGGAAATTAGTGAAAGTTGATGTTCCCCAGTACTTGACTGCAGTTATTTATAGAGGATATTGTTGGAGTCAAACAGTTGAAGTACTTACCCAAATATAATGTTATACACCAGCAAAGCAACAAATAATTTACTCTTTGAAATTATATAAACATTATACATAGCAAGCACTACACCTGGGCCTTTGAAATAATATAGGAATGTATAATTCGCAAAAATCTCAAAAAGCACACCATATAATGAGATACTGCTAAAACCATGCACCAATGTCCTCTTGCAACTGTATACTGGCAACGAATATAATCTGTATAAGCAGCCAAAGGGAGCTTCCTCGTAGAATCAAGCTAGCTGAGAATCCACAAAAAATAGAAGGGATTACTGCATGGATACGGTTCAATAAAATTTTATAGCCTGTCATAAAACACATAGACAATGTACAATAAATAGCTTAACAGTCTTAAGAATAAACTGAGCTGGTTGATTTTATAATAACAATTGGATCATATTTCTGTCAAAAGAGTCAGAGACGAGAGTTTGATTATCCAAGAGTCTAATACTGAAGCACCAAGGTAAGTTTATGCTTTTCTGAATCATGGTTCAGTTTCTCTTGGGATTGAAGAACATTTAGAAAGAAAAATATATAAGCAAGGATCAAATAAAGGCCAAGTTATGCAACTTTTATTGTTTATCTTTTGAATGAGAAAAAAATTAGAAAAACCCAAATGCAGACCTAATCCAGTTATGACCTCACACTCATTCTTACCATTCTCATCTGATGTCGGTGGTGCAGCGGTAGATGAATTCGTCATTGATATTCCAAGATTGGAGCAATCCAAACCAAGCGCACCTTTAAGACAAATTTGAAATCTCAAGTTATTATCGATTAATTGAGCAGAATGAGAGCAGAGTAAAATCTTGAATCTGAAAAAGAAGATATGTAAAATTCAAAAGTCTAAGTAGTAAACAATGAGAAATTAAAGCCGAGTGAGTTCCCATAACTCCAATGACTCTGGGTTTCGAAGATAACGTACTCTGAACTTGAGAATTCATAGAGTCTGCCTTTCTGTGAGAAGATTATCGCAGCAACTTGTGCTTCACAAAGAACAGATAACTCATGAGCTTTCTTTAGAAGCCCATTTTTACGCTTTGAAAAAGTCACTTGACATAATCAAGAACAAATAAAAAAATAAATAAAAAGTAAGAAAGTCAATATTATGGTCAAGCTATAGATGGAACAAAACAAATTAACACTAAGAAGAACTAACACTAAGAGATGGCAAAAACTAAAAGAGAGAAAGGGAATTAAGGGAACTCATGACCAACAGAAATTGTCAATGCTTCTCAGAAATGCTTCTCTTGTGCTCTTTTAAAGGAGAAAACTACTGATTAATATATATCCCTGAAGCTGAAAAAATGCAAGACTTTGAAACAGACAATGAGAACCCACAATAGAGAAACACTAAAAGATTCGATCTTTTTCAAAAAATAATTATATCCACAAGCTCCAAATGGGATTCACACCTCAAAGGTTTATTTCAAATCTTGTGAAAAAATTGACAACCAAAAAAAATAAAAAAATAAAAAATAAAATACACAAAGGTTGGAAAGATTCAGAGTTTTGTGTGTGCAAAGACAGAGATGATGAAGTTTCAGCAGAGGTCAACGAAATGATAAGAAGAAATCCATAAAGTTTTGTGATTACAAGAACAGCTAGAAGAATACTAGTGAGGATTTTTAGAGCAGTTGCAAATATTCCAAAAACCCTAAAAAGATTCACTATTATTGCAAATTTGGAATTAGTCCAGCTTCTTATTCTTAGGCCACAAACATAAAGTTTGATTGGCAATTTACAAGATAATAAATAGGCAATAGAGTGAAAGCCAGGCATTAGATAGCGAAAGAGCTGGTCAATTCGCACGCAATTTATGCAGCCTTCTTCATGTTGACTCAATGACACTAAATTTATAAAAGACATGTTTGAAACAAATCCACATAATATTTGCATCCACAATATGCACCAAAATAAACAATGAAATATAAGTCTATTATATTAAAAGCATGCCTATACCTTCGAAATTCCTCGCTTTTGCTAATGGCACCATAATCAACATGTCTCCTGTCATCAGAAGCATAAGACTCAAGAATGGCATACATAATTTTGGTAAGCCTATCACAAACTGCAGCTGCTCTTGAATAAACTTTAAATGGTTTGTTAGTTTTATATTTAATAGTCTTAATTAAGCAGTCTTGTTTTTAGGTAAGTGAAAGGCCAAGAGTTGTGAGAAAGTGAAAGGCCAAGAGTTGGAAGTTTAATTTTGTGGTTTATGGCTATTTTAATGTTAGGTTCATGAAAAGGCAATCTACTGCCTATATAAACTAATCCATATTGTAAGCAAAGTACACAGAGTAAAAGTTGAAGAGAAATACAAGTTTTGTTCTCTGAAGTTGTCTTCTCCACTAGAAAATAGTTGTTTTTTTATTTAGTGATACCACAAATTGGTATCAGAGCTATGGAAAGGGGGAGTGATATGGCACTACCTAAGTTGACGAAGGAGAACTACGAGAATTGGAGCATCCAGATGAAGGCTCTTCTCGGATCCCAGGACGCTTGGGAGAATGTTCAAGCAGGTTTTGTAGAACCACAGGATACTGGAGGCTATTCGGCGGCTCAAACTAAAGCGTTGAAAGAGACGCGTGCAAAAGACAAGTTGGCGTTATTCATGCTCTTCCGAGCTATAGACGAATCCGGGTTTGAGAAGATAGCAAATTGTGAGACCTCAAAGGCAGCCTGGGACATCTTGGAAAATGTCTATAGAGGAGCTAACCGGGTTAAACAAGTCCGGCTTCAAACCCTTCGTGCCGAGTTGGAGGGAATGAAGATGAAGGACACGGAAGGAGTATCCGGGTTCGTTGCCCGGGTTCAAGGAATTGTGAACCAGTTGAAACGGAATGGAGAAGATATACCTGACACCAGAGTGGTGGAGAAAATCTTGAGATCTTTGACAGACCAGTTCGAAAACGTGGTTTGTGCGATAGAGGAGTCCAAGGATCTGTCTACACTTACCATTGACGAGTTGGCGGGTTCCCTTGAAGCGCATGAACAAAGAAAGAAGAAGAAGGAGGAAACTCTTGAGCAGGCACTTCAGACCAAAGCAACAATTAAAGATGAGAAGATGTTCTATTCTCAAAATTTCTGAGGTAGAGGACGTGGCCGCAGTGGACGAGGTACTAGCCGTGGTGGTAAAGGTCGAGGCCGAAGTCAAGAAGTGTATAGTGATGAGGTAGGACAGTCAAATCAACAAAACTGGAGAGGACGAGGACGAGGTCGACGAGGAGGTCGGTCACATTATTCAAACATCGAGTGTCACAAATGTGGAAAGTTTGGTCACTATGAGAAAGATTGTAACTCGGACAAGTGTTACAACTGTGGCAAAGTCGGACATTTCGCAAGAGAATGCAGAGAGGAGAAAAAGGTGGAGGAGACGTCCAACCTAGCCACAGAAGACGAGATGAAGGATGGTGTCTTGTTAATGACACACAGTGAAGGAAGTCCTGACGATGACATGGAGTGGTATCTTGACACGGGTGCGAGCAACCACATGTGCGGACATAAACACTTCTTCAAGGAGATGATAAAAGTGGAAACCGGACATGTTTCGTTCGGGGATGCCTCAAAGGTTGAGGTAAAAGGCCGAGGTACGATCTGTTTCCTACAAAAGGACGGGTTAATTGGCTCAATTTGAGATGTGTACTATATACCCGACCTAAAAAGCAATATTTTAAGAATGGGTCAACTGATGGAGAAAGGTTACTCGGTTATTATGAAAGACCGGGTATTGTATTTGAAAGATGAGCAAGGTCGGATGATAGTCCGAGTTCAAATGGGTAAGAATCGTATGTATAAACTGAATTTGAAATGTATACAGGTTGAATGTTTATAAGCTGAGGTAGAAGATAAGGCGTCACTTTGGCATCTCCGGTTTGGTCACCTACATTATGGTGGTCTAACCAAGTTGACAGAGAAAAAGATGGTGGACGGGTTACCTGACATAAACTTTGAAGGAAAGTTTTGTGAGAGTTGTGTACTTGGCAAGCATGCCAGGACCACGTTTCAGAAGATGGCAAGATTCCGGGCTAAGCAACCTCTGGAACTAATACATACCGACTTGTGTGGACCCATCAATCCGGGTTCCTTCAGCGGTAAGAAGTATTTTATTTCCTTTATTGATGATTTCTCACGGAAAACTTGGGTTTACTTTCTGAAGGAGAAGTCCGAGGTGTTTGATGTGTTCAAAAAGTTCAAGGTGATGATTGAGAAAGCAACAGGAAGCTATATCAAATCGGTGCGGTCTGACAGAGGTGGGGAATATACCTCAACAGCGTTTATGTCGTTCTGTGAGGAACAAGGGATAAGGAGGTTTCTAACAGCACCATACTCACCACAACAGAATGGCGTGGCTGAAAGGAAGAACCGGACTATTCTTGACATGGTTCGATCAATGCTGAAGAACAAAAGGATGCCGAAGGAGTTTTGGGCGGAAGCTGTGCAGTGTGTTGTGTATGTGCAGAACCGATGTCCACATTCAAGCTTGGATGACAAAACACCACAGGAAGCATGGAGCGGTCAAAAGCCTTCAGTGGCTCATCTCAGAGTTTTTGGTAGTGTGGCCTATGCACACATACCGGACCAGCTCAGAACCAAGCTCGAGGATAAAAGCAAGAAATATGTTTTTATTGGATATGATGAAAAAACAAAGGGGTATAAGCTGTTTGACCCCGTCAACAAGAAAGTCATAGTGAGCAGAGATGTAAAGCTCAATGAAGCAAATGAGTGGGACTGGAGCAATTCATCTGAGATAAACTTTGAAGACGGAATCACAACACAAATTATCAACCCGGCAAGTCCTGAAGCTTCTGATGATGAAGACGAGGTACGACAACCCAGGATGCGAAGCATACAAGACATATATGAGTCAACAAGTGAGGTACATTTTGTTTGTCTTCTTGCAGACTCTGAGAACATAAGTTATGAAGAAGCCATCCGAGATAAGAAATGGAAAGACGCCATGGATGAGGAGATAGAAGCAATTGACCGAAATAACACATGGGAGTTAGCCGAGCTACCAAAAGGAAGTCGGCCCATTGGAGTGAAGTGGGTGTTCAAGAAGAAGATGAATGCTCAAGGAGAGATAGAACGATATAAAGCTCGGCTAGTTGCAAAAGGTTATAAGCAGAAGGCTGGAATTGACTATGACGAGGTGTTTGCCCCTGTTACAAGGATGGAGACAATTCGGCTACTCATCTCACAGGCTGCTCAATACAGATGGCCAATACATCAAATGGATGTAAAGTCGGCATTCCTGAATGGTGTTCTTAAAGAAGAAGTTTATGTGGAACAACCGTCGGGCTACATGAAGGCAGGAGAAGAGAAGAAGGTGCTGAGATTGAAGAAAGCACTTTACGGGTTGAAGCAAGCACCACGAGCATAGAATGCTCGTATTGACAAATATTTCAAGGAGAATGGACTTGAACAATGTCCATATGAACATGCTGTGTATGTCAAGAAAAATGGAGGAGACTTGTTAATTGTGGCTCTTTATGTTGACGACCTCATTTTTATGGGAAACAATGCCAAGATGATACAAGAGTTCAAGAGCACAATGACAAGAGAGTTCGAAATGACATATCTCGGTTTTATGAAGTTCTTTCTCGGTTTGGAAGTAAAACAAAATGAGAAGGGAATCTTCGTGTCACAGGAGGCTTATGCAAAAAAGATTTTGAAAAAGTACAAGATGGAAGATTGCAACCCGGTTTCAACACCAATGGAACCCGGTTCAAAACTTTCTAAGTTTGATGGAGGAGACCGTGTTGATGCAAGCAAGTACAGAAGTTTGGTGGGAAGCCTACGCTATCTCACATGCACGAGGTCGGATATCTCGTTGAGTGTCGGCATAGTAAGTCGGTTCATGGAGGAGCCAAGATACACACATTGGAAGGCGGTAAAGAGAATTCTGAGGTATGTTCAAGGTACAGTTTCACATGGGTTACACTACTCGAGCTCGGCAAAATACAAGTTGATTGGATATTCTGACAGTGATTGGTGGAGACGTAGATGATCGAAAGAGCACGGCTGGTTATGTGTTTTTCATGGGCAACACGGCATTCACTTGGATTTCGAAGAAGCAACCTATTGTGACACTGTCGACATGTGAAACTGAATATGTAGCTGCATCTTGGTGTGTTTGTCATGCAATGTGGCTCAGGAATTTGCTAAGCAAGCTGGAGGAAAAACAAGTCGGCCAAACTGTGATCCGAATTGACAATAAGTCGGCTATAGAGCTAGCAAAGAACCCGGTAAATCATGAAAGAAGCAAGCATATTGACGTCCGATTTCACTTCATCCGGGATCAAGTAAAGGAAGGAAATGTGGAGCTAGCACACGTGACCAGTCAAGAGCAAGTCGGGGACATCTTCACAAAGCCACTACCGACGGTGCTGCTCAACAATTGCAAGAAGATGCTTGGGATGAAAGATGGCAGAAGAATTTAAGTTTATGGAAGAGTTTTGTTGAATAAACTTTAAATGGTTTGTTAGTTTTATATTTAATAGTCTTAATTAAGCAGTCTTGTTTTTAGGTAAGTGAAAGGCCAAGAGTTGTGAGAAAGTGAAAGGCCAAGAGTTAGAAGAAAATGAGAGGCCAAGAGTTGGAAGTTTAATTTTGTGGTTTATGGCTATTTTAATGTTAGGTTCATGAAAAGGCAATCTACTGCCTATATAAACTAATCCATATTGTAAGCAAAGTACACAGAGTAAAAGTTGAAGAGAAATACAAGTTTTGTTCTCTGAAGTTGTCTTCTCCACTAGAAAATAGTTGTTTTTTTAT